TAGGGACTGCTACTTGCATTGATATATGTCTAACTTTCTCATCCCTAATTCAGTTGATACAGAGCGTATACCTGAACAAGAGATGGTCAGAATGTCTTCAAGTCGAGACTTAAAGGGGTAATTTTGCTTGGTTTGCAGACCCAGTAAAAAAAAAAAAAGCGTACTGTGTTGGTTAGTATTTTCCTCAGTAAACAGACAGGGAGCTTAGCATTAGCTAGCTCTTTCTCTGGGTGGTTTCTAACCCTTGTCCAGTTCTGTTCAAGTTATCATGCTCATTAGAATGATGCTGTAGGGTATGTAGGTGCCAAGTGTACGTTTCTAGACAATAATTTAAATATAATCTTGTTTATATGTTTATTTTATGAATCTGTCTTGGTTTTAACGTCTTGGCATTTGTCAGTGGTGGGGAAATCATGTTTGACTTGTGCCATGTCTTTGGACCTACCTCCAGCTATGCTTTTAATAGGGTTAATACAGACCCACAGCTCTCTATTGTAGCAAACCTGGATCATTTCACATGAGCATTTATTCTACTTTAGCACTCTGGTATTAAAACTACTTTTCTGTCATTTTCCAAGAAACCTATGACAGTGAAACTTGCATTTAAACAACATTGTATTACAAAACTGACTACAATTTCATTATCCAACCATAAGACACAAAACTTCTTTGTGATCTCTGAGGTCTGCTGCAGGCAAAGTGCAACCTATTGCCAAACAGTATTCAGTTTGAAGATTTATACTCCCAGGGCGCCTGCACATGTGACAAAAAATTCCCTTTCTGTGGCTTAATGGCGTCATACATTATACATATGAGAGTTTTGGGGTTTTAAATGAGTGCATCATTGCAAACTTAACTACATCTTGATATAGTTTAGTTTGCAATGTTACAACGTGAAACATTGCAGCCATTAGTCAGCTTGGCCACAGCTGCAGGAGAGGTGGACAGGCTCCTCAGAAAAAAAGGATTGGGCCCCTCACTGCTTGTGCTTTCAGCAGGTTTCTGAGGCCAGTAGGATACATGGGACCACCCCCGAACGGGCTAGCTTACCCCTGGGGCATTGTGGGGAGGTGGTAGGAGGGTGGCTGGGTGTGCTGGCAGCCAGAGAAGGCGGCAAGAATGGTGCACAAGGTACAGGGCCGCCCAGGCAGGCTGCTAGCTCCTCCGAGCCCTCCCAGGCTTCCAGTGTCCTGTGCGCTGTCCCCACTGCCTTATCCAGCTGCCACCACAAGCAGCCACCCTCCTCCCACCTACCCTCGCTGCCCCAGGGGCAAGCCAGCCCCTTCCCAGGCGGCCCATGTGTCCTGCCAGCCACAGTAACCTGACAAAGGCAGAAGCAGCAAGAGGCCCAATTGTTTTTCTTCTGCAGAGCCTGCCCACCTCTCCCACGGCCAGGGGGCAAGCTGAAGATTAATGGCACAGATTAATGGCCTCCGGGCTGCAGAAGAGGTGGGCAGCCTCCACTGGAGGGAAAAAAAAAAGGATCGGGCCTCCTGCTGCTTCTGCCTTTAGCAGGTGTCTGTGGCCTCCAGGACACTAACATATATACAGGAGTGACGGAAAAATAGAACCCGCTATTTCAATTAAAATCACCATTTCAATTTAGGGGGCATATAATGCAACCCTAAGGATTAAAACCCCATCACGTGTACTAGCGCCCCCAGAGACCCGCGTCTGCTGCTGTTTAATCCCAGTGGCTTTTCTCCCAGATCAAATTGTAGTTCAATATGCTAGAGCCATTTCATGCAATTTAGGTGTATTCTTTAGGATCCTGGCTAATTAACAATCAACCTTGATTGAATATAGTTCATACCTTAAAGCTGTCAAACTGCTCTGGCTTTTTGAAATGCTACTGATACAGGATCTTGGCTATAATGGGATCAGAAATACAGTGCAAACTGAACAAGTTCAGAGTACAATTCAAGCTATAATTCTTTGTGAGTGTAACCACTCACCATCCACTCACTCACCATCCAGCGTAGAGTGTCAAGGGCCCGCAGCAAGGTGGTGGCCCTAGACTTCAGGAGGGCCAACTTCAGTGAGATGAGGAGATTAGTGGGAGAGGAACTGGGGTCCTTGAGGGCAGAGGAACTCAGCGTCCAAGAGGAGTGGTCGTTCCTTAAGGAAACGATACTCGGGGCCCAAGGGGTGTCCATCCCGACAAGAAGCAAGGCGGGCAGGAGTGTCCAAAAGCCCCCCTGGCTCACCAAGGGTGTCCGGGAATGCCTGCTTGCCAAAAAGGCGGCATACGCCCGGTGGAAGGGGGGTGTAATCTCCAAAGAGGAGTATACCTCCTCTGCTCGGGCCTGCAGGCGGGCTGTTAGGAAGGCCAAGGCGGAGATAGAGCTCGGATTAGCGTCCGGGATTAAGGATAACAAAAAGTCCTTTTTCAAATATATTGGGAGGATGAAGAAGGCGCCGGGTAATGTGGGGCCCCTGCAGGATATGCGGGGCAATCTGGTGGTTGCGTCAGAGGATAAAGCGGATCTCTTTAACCAATTCTTCACCTCCGTTTTCTTGTGCAGGGAACGGGACTTCCCTGCTGTTATAGCAGCCGGACGCGAGGGGATCACCTTCAGACCTCAGGTTGGGGAGGACCGGGTTAGAGAGCTTCTGGAGGGGCTGGACGCGTTCAAGTCAGCGGGTCCGGATGCTCTCCACCCCAGGGTGCTGAGGGAGCTGGCTGGGGTTATTGCAGGGCCCCTGGCACGGCTCTACGAGCGATCGTGGTGCTTGGGCCAGGTGCCAGACGATTGGAAGGTAGCTAATGTGGTCCCCATCTTCAAAAAAGGGAAAAGGGAGGACCCGGGCAATTATAGGCCCGTCAGTCTTACCTCAATCCTGGGGAAGCTCTTTGAGAAGATCATCAAGGAGCACATTTGTGATGGGCCGGCATCCGAGATGATGCTCAGGGGCAATCAGCATGGATTTATTAGGGGGAGATCATGTCAGACCAACCTGATTGCCTTTTATGATCAGGTCACAAAGGCCATGGATGCAGGTGTCGCGGTGGATGTAGTCTTTCTGGACTTCAGCAAGGCCTTTGACACCGTCTCTCACCCCATCCTAATTAGTAAACTAGGCGACTGTGGCATAGATGCCTACACGGTCAGATGGATTGCAGATTGGCTGAAGGGTCGCACTCAGAGGGTGGTGGTGGATGGATCATATTCGACTTGGGGGGAGGTGGGTAGTGGAGTCCCTCAGGGCTCGGTCCTGGGCCCTGCGCTGTTCAATGTCTTCATCAGCGATCTTGATGTTGGGGTGGAGAGCAACCTGTTTAAATTCGCTGATGACACCAAAATTTGGGGGGAGGTGAGCACGCTAGCAGGGAGAGAGAGATTGCAGAAGGATCTGGATAGGTTACAGGGGTGGGCAGACAGGAACAGGATGCGTTTCAATACGGACAAGTGCAGGGTGCTGCACTTGGGTAGTAGGAACCAGCAGCACACTTATACGATGGGGAGCTAAATTGTACCTCCAGAAAAGCATATGTGGATATTCCAAAAATGATCTGATAGCTTATTAAAAGTGGCAGGCTCTTCCCTAGGTCATCAGTATAATGGCTAAGAAGATATAAACCATATATCACCAACAGAACTGTGAGACCATGTTGGATAGCAAAGTGGAAGGGGAAAAAAGAGAGAGAGGGAGAGGCAGGGGGAAAAAAAGGGACAATACTAATCAGCATGCCAAGCTGCAGGGTTGATGTGGTGTAGAAAAACTACTTCACAGTTAGGGCGGCTAGGAGCTGGAACCAACTTCCAAGGGAGGTGGTGCTGGCCCCTACCCTGGGGATCTTTAAGAAGAGGCTGGATACTTACCTGGCTGGACTCATTTGAGTCCCGTTTTTGTTTTTAGGGTGAGTGGTTTTTTTTTTGGGTTGTTCTCCCGCCCTGGCGGGGGGTCGGGCTAGAAGATCTATTAGGTCCCTTCCGACCCTGAAACTATGAAACTATGAAACTAATAACTGCATCAGTGCCTCTCTAGGCCTTCCTACATATTCAAATTAAAGCTGGATAGAAACCAGCTATGGAGTTATTAAACATTTTCAAGCACTAACTTTTTAGCTGGTTGACTTTCTTTATATCTGGATAGTCATTTATGGCATGATAATTACTTTGCACGTATGGCTGGTCTAAATTTATTGTGTGATTAACCAGTTAATTGTGTAATATATGTAACATATAGCAGGGGCCTCTGAAACACGCATGTACTTCTTGGCTCCCTAGATAATCTCACTGGAATGGGAGTTCTGCAGCCCAATTATGACTCTTTGGTATCAAAAGTAATTATTTTAACATTGATCCATTTTAGCAGATGGAGCTGGGAAAGGGAGGGAAAAGAAATAGGAGTTGTTGGGAAGGCAGTGTGGAGGGGAGATTTTTCAAAGGTAGGGAAGAATGAGATGGACAGAGAAAGGAGGGTGAGGAAGGAAGATGACTAAAGGGTTGGGCCATAGGTGATGTGTAGGTAGTGCACCCCCCAAGAGAAGCACCAGTGGCGCCTGCAGGTACCACCCTGCTTCACTCCTCCCATTGTCGACATTACCAGCGGCGTCTGCGGGCAGTCCCCAATTGCTGCTGTCGGCGGTGTCTGTGGGTGATCACTGACTGCTAGTTGGCGTTCACCACCCAGCTGACACTGCTGAGACTGTCTGCGGGAACTCCCCTGCTCGGCCTACCCCCACAGGTTGGGCTATGGCTAGTTCTAAAGGGAAGTACATTTTTTTTTTTTTCACCAAGTGATATTGAAGATAAGGCATCAAACAAAAAAGTAACGAAAAGTATAGTTGCCACCAAAAAGCCTTATTTTACCCTAACTTTTGTGTCGGCCTCTGACTGATACCAGTAGGATCTGGGTGATGGGTCAAAGGATAGAGGGCATGAAGTCCTCACTGCACATTTTAGGTGATGAACATTTATTAAAAATTGAATTAGACCTTTTCCATGAAGGGGGTGTGATACCACTACTTCATACTGATACTTACTTTTTTTTAGGTGACTGGCCCACCAGGTTGTGGCAAAACTCAGTTCTGTATTATGATGAGCGTGCTGGCTACTTTGCCTACCAGCCTGGGAGGACTAGATGGGGCTGTCATATACATTGACACAGAGTCTGCATTTAGTGCTGAAAGGTAAGGAGTATATATTTAAAAATGCTGATGTATATATTTACAAAACTTTCGAAGTGGTAATTAAGCACCACAACATATCTGTGAGGGAAGACAGCCATTTTAAGAGATGGGGAAGCTAAGGTGCAGAGTTTGTGTTCGTAAAATCTTTGGCATCCTGATTTCTAGTCCTGATGCGATCACTAGAAAGTGTGTTCCTGTATAGATAATTAAACTTGCAACTGAAAAATTGCATGTCCAGTATATCTTTCTTTTGCATCTTAGTTTCTGGAGTTAGGGAAATTTTGGGGGAAGCAGAAGTTCAGTAAGTCAACATATTGAATACAGGCAAAATAAAAATGATTGCTTATCAACTGTATAAGAGATTTCAGACACTTGGCCTGTTGACTGGATGTGGCCCAGCTGATGGATTTATGTGGCTGGACTCTGCAGTGTCTGTATGTATGTATTTATGTGGCTTTAGCATCTGGAGTAATCATGTAAGAAAAAAGTAAATTTCTAGCCTTTGTGGTTGTGAAGTCAATCTTGCAAATGTTTGAAGTTAGTTTAAACAGAGAAAGTGTTGTAGGTTTAGGAGGGAAGAAAGCCTGAAATGCTAACTCTGAGAAGGGTATATTCCTTTGCCTGTATTAATGTTATTGAAGTCAATACTTTGTGATGCTGATTCTTTGAAATATCAGCTTTGTGTGAAGCCCAGTGGGAGAATTAGAAGTTGATACAAGGATGCAAATGCAGAAGTAAGAGACACAAACATAGAAGTGGGAAGTAAACAGGAGGATAGTGAAGGGAGAGAAAAAAGTCAGAAATGTCACTGTTCCTAAAGATGAGAATTTTTTCCCACTGAACTATGCTAAATGCAACTTAACAGATGCTAGTGATAGTTGAAAGTGTTACTACAACCAGACCATACCCTACCTTTCATTTTTGTTCAAACTTCCCATTGCCCTGTGTGGGGAATCCTGCAGTGGACTGAGGGCTATATGTAGTTCAAAATTTATGATACACTATGATTAAAAGTGGAATTCAGCCCTGTCCAAAATCTTAATATTTTTTTCTAAATACTAACAAATTAGTTAGTAATTTATTTAAAATAGATGAGCAGTGAAAGCCTTACTTGGGATTGTCTTTACCTAGAGAGAAAATCACTGAATCAGAGAAGCCCAATAGTAGGCAGTTCATGGACCCACTGTATTTCCAGATCCCTGCAGCAGGGATCTCAGTATTTTGAAACCTCCTGACAACAACAGGAGATAGAAAAGTGGGAGCAGCAGAAACAGCATGTCATGGACCGAATGAAGAATCCAGCACCACCAGCCCCATACAGAAACACATGCCCGAGCTACGGTAGAGTCTGTTGATCCTGGGTAGGCATCATTAGCCATCTTCAGATGCACAGATAAGATGATCAGCCTAGACTGCAAGGGATTGCTGAAGAAGAGAAGTATTTCCAGAATTAGAAAAATGGAAGTAGTTGCCATGGCACTGGCTTTTCTCTATACTTTCAGTAGAAAGATGCATCCATTTGAATCTATATTTTAGTCTTTCATTAAGTTTATGACTGGGTAAGAATCACTGGAAATTAAAGCCCAGAGATTTACCACACTGTCTTGGTCTTGACCTCTTGGGAAAGCTGTTACACTCCATTTGGTCTTTTGGCCTCTGCTAATAGTAACAAGTAACATTTAGCATTTGCTGAATGGTGTACTTGTATGGAATTATGCAAACCATTGATGGTCTGGGAGGGTTTTAGTTAAGGTTGTCTGGGCCAGTTTAGGAACTGTATATCCTGCATCTAGGCAAAAGGTTGGATGAGATGACTAATGAGGTCCTTTCTATCCCTACAATTCTATGCCAAATGTTTGTCTTGGTGTGGACACCTGTCCATGACAAGGTGGATTGAAGTCTCAGAAGTATTGTACACCAACTACAGAACAGCTTTCAGATGATAACTGCAGTCTTTGGAGAGAGCGTTGGAGACTAGGAAAATAGCAGTCTCTGAAAACACGTTAGCTGATAATATTTTAGGTATCATTAGCACTTTCTGTGAAATAGTAGGACATCACTGAAATGTGCAAGCTAACAAGTTTAAAAAAGACTTGTGCTTTTTTTCCTAGTCTAGACAGAACCTTGGGATAGTAACATGTCTTATTTAGCACTGAAACTATGTGGGGATGCCTTCTCTGTTGGTGTTGAGCAGGGATCCAGGTTTTCTGTTCACCATGGTACCTGGATTTTCTCCTTTTAAGGAGAAAAGTGTGGGGAATGGTGAGTTTACCCTTGCAGGCTGGCAGGAACAGGAGGAGGGCAGTCAGTAGGGGTATGCAAAGCTTTGGTCGCTGATTCGATTTGGTGGAATCTGAATTGAATCAGGAGACCCTTTAATTTCTCCAAATCTAATCGGAACTCTCTGAATCAGTTCAGAGAGGTTTGGAAAGATTCAGACATAAATACAGCTTTAAATGTTTTTTCTACATACCCCAAGGTACCAGGCGGCTCGTCAACGCTGGGGCAGATGGAGCGTCCCATAGGAACTCCCCAGCACACTCAGCAGCAGACCTGGAAGTGGACCAGAAGCATTTCTGGTCCATTTCTGGGTCTGCCGGGGAATGCGCTGAGGGGCCCCTCTGGCTTGGCAACTGGTGCCTCCTGGGTCTGGGGGGGGCACCCAGGGTCCCCCCCATGGCCAATTGCTGAGCTGGGAGGGCGTGGGGAGGGGTCCCCCCGACGGAAGTACTCAGTCCACTGGGTACTGTGGGCCATGTGCTCCTGTGGGCCCCAGCATTGCAACATTCACGAGTAGTGCCTGGCACCTTGAGGTATGTAGAAAAAACATTTTAAAGCTGTGTCTATGGCCAAATTTCTGATTTTTCCCAATCAGCATCGAATCCTCAGATTTGGATTTGACTGAATTGAATTGGGGATGGTGATCCAAATCAACTAATTGAATCACTGTCCCTGATTTGTGCTGAATCCAAATCAAATGGGGCCTGTTTTGCACACCCCTAGCAGTCAGCCAGGGGATGCATGTGTATGTGCGCATGTACACATGCATGTGGCTACCAGGCAGCCTGGAGAGCAGCTCCGTGCAGGTAAGTCTGGCTGGGGGGGGTGGGGAAATTGAGGTCCCCATAGTGAGAGAGGGAGGGAGTTGGGTGGGGCTGGGGCTGCTGCCTAGCCTGGGCAGTGCATGCGGCTTGGGACTGGGGCCAGAATGTGTGGTTGCAGGGCCCCAGGAAGGAATCAGGACAGAGCCACGGGTGGCTCTTTTGAGGTGGTGGGGTGGGGCTGGCTTCCCGCTGCTATGCAAACTCCTGGGGAGGGCATGGGGGACTCATGCCCCCCAGATTTGTCTGTGGGATGCAGGCCAGCTACCCACCGTGGGCTCGGGGCTCCCTGACCTGCTGCCCTCCCAGCGGGCAGGACCTGGCACAGCAGGGCAGAGTGAAGTGGGGCGGGGAAGCTCAGTGCCTCTGCCATGAGCCCCGCACTGCCATAGCAAGGCACCCCCTGCCTGCCCAGCAGCAGCAGAGATGGTGGTGCAGAGGACACCTTGGCATGGGGTTTTCGGCAGCGGCGTCTGACCCTGCTGGGTCCACCCACTGGACAGCAGGGTGGGGAGCCCTAAGACCGCAGCCTACATGCACCCTGCCCACAAATCAGTGTGGGGGGGGGATATGTGTCCCCCATTCCCCTCCTGGGAGTGTGTGCAGCAGCCGGGATCTGGCGCCCCTGTGCCCACAGCGAGCAGCCTGCATCTCCTCCTCCACATGGGCTCTGTTCTGGCCATGCTATTTGTGGGGGTGGGGGAGCTGGGCTCTGCACTCCACTCCATTACAGCAGCCACCATTTCCTGTGGGCGGCAGCTGGCGCTTGGATGCTGCTGTGGGGGGTAGGGAGCTGCAAACCCGGGTCCCTGGCCCTGTAGCCCTGGCAGTTAGGGTCTTCCTCTGGCAGGGCTGGAGGGGCTTGGGGGCTTTGGCTGGGGAGTGAGGGGCACCAGCAGGGCCCAGTGGCTTTGGCTGGGGAGTGAGGGACACTAGTAGGGCTGGGGGGCTCTGGTTGGTGAATGAGGGGCGCCAGCAGAGCTGAGGGGCTCTGGTTGAGGAGTGAGGGGCACTGACAGGGCCCGAGGGGCTGTGGGTGTGGAGTGAGGAGCAATGGCATGGGCAGGGCACCAACATATTAGGCCTGCTCAGCACCACAAAGCAGGGGAGTTGGGGGGAGAGCTGCAGCTGGACCTGCATCCTGGTGAGTTAATGGGGCAGGGGGAGCTTTGATTTTCCATGATAAAAAACCCAAAATCAAATGCCAAAATTTATACGTACTTAGAATGTATTGTATTATAGTGACTGAGGCACAGATAAGCTTCCAAATTGCTTTAGAATTGTTATTATATCAATAAAACATTGTATTCAACTGATACCTCTCTCTCTCTCTCTCTCTCTCTCTCTCTCTCTCTCTGTGTGTGTGTGTGTGTGTGTGTGTGTGTATGTATGTATGTATGTATGTATAGTGGTGTTTCATTTTAATAATGGAAAAACATGGATTTGGGGGTTTTAAATCAGAGAATTTGCATTCTTCCCCCCCCCCCCCAGCCCCCCAATTATTAGAGTCTTTACGATTTTTAAATGGAGAACACCAGGATTCCTGGTGATGAGGCCAGGGTCCCAACTAATCGCATGAAGCTGTCTCCTTTTAACCAGCTTCCCTTTGGTTTTCTCTGAGTTGCAGTTGAGTCAACTGCTCTTAGTCCTGGTGTTGATCTTCTGTTGTCACTGTGACATCCTTGCAATAATTGTATTTATTAACACAAGGACCTTCTATGCTGTATCTTACAACTTCCCATTGTGTTTCCATGCTAGTTGCCCTGTGACACTCAGCATACATCAGTTTGAAGGTTAGTTGCCATGCAAAATATGTTGGTTATTTAGACAGCCCCTGGAATATGCCTGCTGTGTAATTTACTATGCCATTAGCAATTTGCACTGAAATTTTAGCTGCAATTGAAAGAATACTAAGTAGTAGGAGGAAGGAAATGAGAAAGTTACAACAGTAAGGTTTTATGGCTTTAGGATAGGCATGTTAATGCTCAATCTAGTGTTTCGTGTTTGGTTTTTTGAACTAAGCCAAAGTGCTGAAAAGTAACTCACTTTAGATGCTTATAGTTGTAATGATGTTGTGAGGTTTTTGTAAAACATATGAGGAATCTTTTTACTTACACCATTAGTTTTATCTCAGAAGTGCAATGTTTTGGGGAAAAAAATCTTACCCACCAGATGTCACTCTCTTCACACATATAGTGAGTACAGTGAGCATATTGCACTCAGGAATTTAAGCATTTTCTTACCCTTGTTCTAAAAAGGAACAATTTAGAACATTACAGTGGCCCCAAGGGCTAACATTTTTTAAATGTAAAAAGTTAGGCTTCTGAATTGATAAAAATGGTTTATTTTCAAAGGTGTTGAGTCCCTACAGCTCCCTCCACCTAAGTGGAATCTATGGGTTTTAACACCATGCCAGGTTATTACTTACAGATTGAGTACTTGTAGGGACTAAAATGGAAAAACATTGGTCTGCTGTTACAAGTCTTTATATCTGTAGTGGGTTTTCTCCCTTGCATCTTCCTTGTCCAGTGGATTTTGCAATAAGGTCATGATACTGTTTTTATGATGGAACTTTTTGTTAAAGACTCTTTTTTCATAAGTTCTACTTTATGATCTCACTATAGTATTAAAATGGAAGACGAGATGGCGTGGCATGAACAATACTCTTGTTTAAATACATTTATTTCTGATAAATTTCCCTTGCTGCAACTTGATTTAGTTATTAGGAAAAACTTTCTCACTAGGACGGTAGTATAGCACTGAAACAGGTAACCCAGAGAGATTGTGGACTCTCCAACCTTGGAGGTTTTTAAAACCCAGCTAGACAAAGCCTTAGCTGGGATGTTCTAGTTAAGGATGATCCTGCTTTGAGCAGGGGGTTGGACTAGATGACCTCCTGAGGACCCTCTCAACCCTAATTTTCTATGATCCTATGATTTTCTATGATTCTATGAATCAGAAATATAATACCATTTGGCACTCTAATAGGGCCTTTTGTATCAAAATCTTGAAATCTTTACTTTTTATACCATTTCACAAGTTGGTGACAAAGAGGTTTTGTTACTTCTAACAAAAGAAGTAGGCTTGTTCCACTTCACTAGTTACTCAGTGGCATGGTTCAGAGTGGAATCTTAATCTTCTGTCTTCTAGTGTTGCCACTGGAATGTGCTTCCTTGTTAGAAAAGGAAGTCAGATATTGCTAACTTCCTATCTGTATCTCTTTACCCTTCTCAGATTTATTTCATCTTGTATCTCTTTGTCTCCTTTGATATTGTGGGCAGTTTGCGGGAAATAACAATGGAAGACTGTCTTGTTATACCAGATTTCTGTTGCCTTATCAGTGACATACCTCTTGGTTTTTGGCAGGTTGGTTCAGATAGCAGAACATCGGCTCCCTAATTATTTTGTCACAGAAGAAAAATTGGTTTCAATGACCCGTAGCATCCATCTATATCGGGAGCTCACCTGTGAGAGTGTACTGAAAAGGTATTGTTGCTTGTTAAAACAAACAAGAAGCCCATCTTTGCTGGACTGACTCTTACAAATGTTGTTACATCCCAAGGCTTATGTGTAGAAGTTAATTTCTTTGGGTGTTTACATTACAGCATCTAACAAGTTCGAATAGGTAAACTTACTGCAAAAAGAATTTGTGCCATAATGCATATATTTAATCTTACATTATCTTCATACTGAAGCTTTATGAAATGTTTTCAGGCATCTCATTTAGTGGATCGTTGGTGATTATTAAAGTTCTGAATTTTGTAATACAGTATACCTTGATGCACAGCCAACAGTGCAGAAACTACACAAAATCTGTTCATAATTTTTATTAAGGGTCTTTTGAATTTACTGTTGTGTTTGTTGGGAGAAGGGGAGGAGTTAGATGTACTTTTCTAGGAGGGAAGGGGGTGAAAGTAGAAATCAAGGTTTTCTTGTATCTGGATGTGAATGGCGGTTGGGAGGTATGGTTTGGATTGGTTTGCTTGTGTGGGGGGGTTGGGCAGAGAGGCAGTTGGGGAAGGGGGAATTGTATTTAGATTTTGGGGTGTTGTTTGGGTGACCTGTGCGTTGCTTATTTATTGTAAGCTAATCTGAGCCTTTTGGATACGGTAGGATATAAATCTAAATAAATAATTAAATCCTACCCCTGGTTCTTATGGGATCTGTGCAGCTAATGGGCACTTGGTTTGCTCTGGGTCAGTCTTTGGTAGAGTGAGTAAAAGTGGCTCCCTGTTCTTCCATGAGTGTCTTCTTACAACTTTTTTTTTCCCACCCCATCAGCAATGAAGAAAAGGAGATCTTTGGATCTTGTTGCAACAGTATTAGGGGTTGGACTAGATGACCTCTGGAGGTCCCTTCCAGCCCTACATTTTATGATTCTAGGAGAGGAGGAGTCCTCTCTCAACTATCAGCCAGAAAGGCCATTATGTGAGCTTGTGCTTTCATGTTGTTATTTTGGGTCAACATGTGAAGATACATTATCATGAAAACAGGTTATGCCATGCTGCTTGTGTTAATGGCAGAGTACCCAATCTGTGTAATAGCTGCAGCCCTGTGAGAGTGTATGCATATTTGAAAGCTATTTGGCCATTTTTGTTAACTTCATAAGTATATAGAGCAGAACCATGTCCTGGGTTTGTACAGGGCTCCCTGCTAGAAATGGGATGCTTCTGTTGTGAGTGAGGTAGAATTGCACCACATTTGTACATTCAGTGCTTCTCCATACAGGGGTTACACAGGATAGACTTGGAACTTGAAAATACACATTTTGTGGATCCTCCAGGCCCCACTCTGGAAGGGGCACTTTGTATTACAGGGCTGACTGCAGTATCCTTGTTGCTTCTACATCATCCTACCCATCCAGTGATAACAGCTTGCAGTTAGAAGTTTGACCCTAACAAATATTTATTTTTGATTAGCTTCAGGCCTGTAAAATATTCCTCTTAGGGGTTTTTTAAGTGTTAACTAACATTATTCTGTTTAATGGTATTGTTTCAGCTAAGTTTTGTTTTGTTTTCTTTTTTTGAAGGATTGAGTCTTTGGAAGAAGAAATTATTTCGAAGAAAGTTAAACTTGTAATAATTGATTCTGTTGCCTCAGTAGTCAGAAAGGAGTTCGATACCAAACTTCAAGGCAACCTGACAGAGAGAAGCAACTTTTTAGCTCGAGAAGCATCATTGTTAAAGTACTTGGCCGAGGAATTTTCAATACCAGTAAGTTGTTTGTTTGTTCTTCCTCCTCCCATTTTTGAAAGTCTGATCAATTGTACTAAGTCATAAAATCAGAAAAGCATTAAAAAAGATGTTTTAATGGGCCTGTGCCAGCCAGTTAAGATTAGTAAATTCATGTAAAAAATGAGTACTAGCTTATTTGGTTAGTATAGTATGGGGTGGGCAAAATACGGCCCACGGGCCAGATTTGGCCCACAACGCCATTCTATCTGGCCCGCAGGGCCACTAAAAAATGTAGAAAATTAATATTTCTCTGCCCTTGGTTCCTGTCAAAAATAACTGGAACCAAGGGCAGTAGGACCCAGGGGAAGCCCACTGGGCTCCAACAACAACGGGGCCGCTCCGCCAGCCGGAAGCCCCAGCCGGGGCTTCTGGACTGGGAGCACATGGCTGCCCCATGCCGGAACTGCAGGTAAGTGGGGGAGGGGGAACCCCAGGCAGGGAAGGAGAGTGGTGGGAAGCGTCCCCTCCCCGCCCCATAGCCAGCACCCCATGCTGCAGCCGCCTTCCCCCCCACCCGGGGCGCGCGC